GGGGGGGGGAGGGGGGAGGGGCATGTTACTTCCATACACCTCTCCTTTAGTGCCGCCCCTGATTGTTGCAGGGATTTGTAGATGGAAATTTCGGGTGATTTTGATATATTTATTAGAGTTATAACCAGGAGCAGTTGTGAAAAATGCAACTTTGCATTTTTTGCAACTGGTCCTGGTTAATTAGGCCTAATAAATGAATACAAATTACACTCGAAATTTTCACCTACAAATCCCTTCAGTATTGTAATATATCTTCCTTGAAGTATGCTTCTATTCCGACCCGCGATGTGTGCTCTTTGATTGGTCTTTTTATTTGAGAAGCCTCATTTCCAAAACTCGTTTTGGGTGTTTGCACGTGAGTATATATACTTGGATTACAAATAGTATTAATTCTAGTAAGTGAAGTGCAAGAAACGAGATCATTGAAGTCCACCTTATCACAACCAGCACACCCGATCACCTATATATACATGAACTTACGGTTAAAGCTCAACAGCTGGCCTCTGTAGCTCAGTTGGTTAGAGCGCTACACCGGAATCGCAGAGCCGTAGGTTCAATTCCTACCAGAGGACCTTGTGCTGCATTTTTCGCAGTCGTTCCTGGTCAGGTCTTAAAGTGTATATATACTCACTTGCATGCATCCGTAGTTCCTTGTAGTCCGCGTTCAATGCTGGGAATGCAGTGGTTTAAGAGAATCTCCATGCAATAAACCCCAGGCCCAGAAGAAGTTTGTATTTAAATATTACTTGTAACTGCATGGATTCGTTTTTATCAGGTCTTTCACACGAGGAAGCCAAGAAAGATATCTGGAAGTTACGTCAAGAACATAGATATGTTGAAGACGTGTGGACGTGAAAATAATATAATAACCAAATGTCAAGACGCGGGTTTGATTGTTGGTGGTTTAGAGGAGAATTTCAAATTCATGCTGTTTCAGCATGTATTTATATCTACGTGCAGGCGAATATATATCATCAATATAAGAAAATTAAAAGAAGACATAAAATTCAGGTTTATTGTCAGACCTAACTATTTTACAGGCTTCTTTAGTCTTGCAAAAGAGAAAACAGAGACATACACACGAGACAAGTAGCACTATAGGCAGTATTTTGGCCCTGCAACCAGGATATAATATCGAAATATCAGTTAGAATTTTACGACTGGCATGATTTTTAAGTTGTTCATGGTTTTCGTGTATTTTGAATTTGTACAGGGTAACTTTTCGGAATATCGTAAATTTCTTAAAATTATAAAGGAGTTTACCCAAATTTTTTGCTGTCAGAGTATTACTCTTGAATTCTCTGAATTGTGAACATCTTAATAAATGATTGCCTCGTGGACTGATTACAACACCAAAGATATGAATCGAAAAATTTCAGCAGCAAAATATTGGACAATTATACAGAGAGTAGTTTTGTTATGCAAGAATAAACGTATAATCATCCGGTGTCTCTATGCATAAAGTGGCAAGGGCTATAGGCCTATTGTTCATTTAAAAATTAAAATTCAAGGCCGTTGTTTTCAGGGGCCGCGGAAGCGGGGGGGGGGGCAATGGGGGCATGTGCCACCCCCCATTTTTTAAAAGTGAGGAAGTGCCTTTTTTCTGGCTAAAGTGGCCCCAGTGCCTTTTTGCAGTAGTAAAGACTATGTAGGCCATTTCCGACGTTATAGCGACTTCATATTTTCAAAAATTTCCGCTCGGCTCGTGAACGACATAAAATCGTTTAATTTTGGTCATATACAAAAGTTCCCCTTTTGGCCGATGCCCCTCCACTTTCAAAATGCTTCCGCGGCCTCTGAAAGTAAATCAATATTGGGGGCTCAAGAATAAATTTGAATTGCTTTCGCACTTTTATAGTTCTTTTGCTTGTTTTGCTTATACAAATGAAAACTATTGGGGGGCTCGAGCCCGCCCCCCGCTTTGGACGGCCTTGAATTTGATGTATTTATTAAAAATAATATTTGTAAGTAGTTTATGCATGGTATAGCGAAAGGAAATGTTGCATATGCTATATATTGTTGTAGCATAGCGAAAGGAAATGTTGCATATACTATTATATTGTTGTCATATATGTAACCGTATTCGCTTTTTCTAGATCCGAACAAGGAGGTGTATAAGTATAGTAAAGCATATTATGTAAATTGCACTGTATTTTCACTTTTATTCTATAAGATTGTCAGTATAATTTGAAAAGTATTAATATATAAAACTTGAAATGGTATTAAAAAGATGCAACTACCTGAAAAATACAAGGAGAATTTCAATCGAGTTATTGAGCACGCGCGGGAAGATGGAGAGCACGGATGGATACTAAACTGACATATATCGGGCTGGCCGATTGCTCCTAACGCAAGCAAAATACTAAAACGTTTCTGATTAATTGGTCGCCTGAAATCGGGTGATCGGAAGCAAACCAATTGCAAAACTGTATGTTTATAGACACACAAGCCATTGTCGTTAAAATTATAGGGGGAGAGTTCAACCCATCTCCCACTTCCACAGTCCAAATAAGAGTGGAGACTTGGAAAAGTGCCAACTGCTATGGGGTGGGGGGTGCGGGATCCACTCCCAGAATATTTTCGAGCATCTGAGGCGCATGGAAATGAACTGATCAACATTTTTCGGAACGCTTCTATTGGCACGACTGTAATTTCCTGCATTCTCGAACGCTATATATTCAATGCAGATCACATGCGGATCACATGCGATGGTGCATGCAAATCAACATGCGATGGTGCATGCAAATCAACAGTGCGTTAGTCTGGTTAGTCCCCCTGACTGCGTAACTGTCGCATTGTTGATTTGCATATAACGTGCGAAAAAATACGGAATTTTATTATGGCTTTTCAAAATTATCTATTCTGATTTGTTGACAAGCGGAAAATTTTTTTCAGGAGATAAAAAAAAGGGGTCAAAAAATTTTTTCCGGACTATTAAATCCCTCGGCAAACTAGGAAACATTGTTGCGGAAACATTGTTTCCTGCCAATGTTTCGCCATGTTTCCCAGAATGGGCAAACACTAGGAAACAGTGAGAAACATAGGGAAACATCAAATGTTTCTGAGAATTTGCTAGGAAACATTTTTGCTTCTCAAATTTTGTTTCCGCAACATTGTTTCCATTGGTGGGCAAACAGGGAAACATTTGAGGAAACATCACGAATCACAAATGTTTCCGCAACAATGTTTCCTAGTTTTGGAAAGAGGCAGGTAAGGTTAGCACTATTTTCAATCCAGCAAACTGCCCTTCGATTTTTTAAAGTCGTTTCTTTTTGGATTTTTTTTTATTAATTCGGTTAGAGTTAGGGTTAGAGGTTAGAGTAGGGGTAGGGTTTGGGTTAGTTACACAGCCATAAATTAAATTAAGGTGGCTCCCTACAGTTATTCTTGTTTACCCAATAATTTTTGTTTTGTTTTGATCATGCGGTTGCGTGGGATAGTTCACGTACTGGTCCCGTAGGGAGCCTCCTTAACTGGGGCCTCCTTAACACCACTTCCGAAAATGACGTCAGGTCAGTTTGCTGGATGGAAAATAGTGCTAACTGCTAACATGCAGGTAAATGTAAAACTTTTTCCAAATTCCAATATTCAATTTTTGACATTGTGAAAATATAAATATTTTTATTGGCGTGTATCGTATATAATAATAGTACGATGTCAAGGACAAATCTTCACGCTGATGAACTGTACAGAATAATGTTCTACCTGCACACACAAGATGTTGTTCGGTGTACGCAAGTTTGTAAATATTGGAAGGTATTTGCTCGGGCATATTTTCGTACTGTACAGTTTAGAAATTTTAATCAAATGAAAATACAAATATATATATATATATATATATATATATATATATATATATATATATATAATTGAACCTCTTTATGCACCTATCAATGTTAACCCCCAGAGGGGGGGGGGCATATGTGGGGTATTTGATCATCAATTGCATCCCCACCCTGGGGATTTTGATTAGCATTTTGGCCCCGAGTTGGGGCAATTTGAACCAAATGACTTTTATTAATATAGTATTTATTGCAATTTATTGCAAAATGGTGGGGCATTTGACCAATATTTATTGCCCGACGGTGGGGCATTTGATTGAAAATTTGCTCAAAAAATCAAATGCCCCACCTATGCCCCCCCCCCCTCTGGGGCTTAACATTGATAGGTGCATTATAGATACAACTCCATTGAGGCATATCCATTTTTTTTAAAATTTAGTGAGATCACCACCGTGACGACTCTTTATATATTAAACAGTTAGCTTGCAAGAAGCTGGCTTATATCTAGGTCTAGTTCAACCCTGGGATTATTTTAGCCTCAGCTTGCGAACATTATTGACTGTTTATTTGTTTGCAACTTATTTATGTATCAGTTAATTCCAGCAGTCCCATCACACCCTCCTCTCGGGCCACTCCCAAGCCTTCGCAGTTTTTCCTAATCCTGGGGGTAGGACTATTGTCGAATTTTTTTAGCCCGAGGGTGAGGAGTGAGGACTTCAACGTTTTCCATCATGGCGGACTATAACATGGCAGATTTCGCTGGAAAAGATACTCATTCTTTGGTATGATCTTTCAGTACCATTGTCTTTGATCATTGATGAGTAAAATGCTTTGTCTACATGAAATAGTTTTTCTCCTTCAATGGACAATGATCACTAACAATGCTCTATGAGTGCATCGCCGACAATCAGCCACATACAAAACCTGGCTGAAGTAAAGACAATATTTTCGACAAAGGTTGACATTATTATCATCGGTCTAGTTAGATGTGCTGAAGTAAAGGTTGAGAATTTATACTAAATTGCATATTTAATATAAAAGCATCTTTATTCTTGTGGTAGAACATCTATTTGGTAGTTCGCATTTATCTTGTCCATAGAATTATAACGTGCAAATCAACGTTTACAAAACAGTCAATATTACTATATTGCCAGGGGATGGGGATATAGACCCAATTTTTTTGCCCACGGGTGGGGCTTTAGCACAGTTGTTCTTTCTCTGGGGTGGGGGCATAGACGTTTTCTTTCCAGAAATGGATAATTCCCAGGGGAAGGGATGGGCGCTGCTGGAATTGACTGATGCATCAAACTGCAGCTAACTTTTGCTCATACAAATGGCACTAATGTATGATTGTGACTGAAACACAACACGAGTTACATACTACTTACATAGGGCAAGGGAATCTAGGTTAATGAATTTTTCTTGAAATTTCTAGACTGTCAGATATATATAGAATATCAACGAGATAACGAATTCGCCTCAGCCAGTACTTCTTGATGATCTTGTCGTTGTTTACCGCGACATACGGCAATACAGGGATCCGAATGACGGACTTGTTAAATTCACAAATAATCCCGAAAATGTTCATTTTTATTTGAAAGCGTTATGCATCCGGGCGAAATATTCGAGTTTCAATGGGAGAGACCTCGTGCATGGTTCAACCAGAATTCCCACAACTTTTCCAGTTAGAACACGTCCAAAGGCCCGTTGGGCAGTTCGGCTACAGGTCCTTTAATTTGGATCTTTAATTGGGATGAAAAAAGATAGAAGGTGGAACAGTGTTTTCTTCTAACTAACTATACATTTTGAGTTTTGTTGTTTAGCACAATTATGGAGATTACAGTATATATATAGGCTCTATAATTGTCAGTGGCCGGTTGTAGAAAACCCGTTTAGCGTTTAGATTAGTCTAAATATTTTAACTTGAAAAGAACAATAAATTACGGTTGTTTTATGTGAAGAGTTTAACTTTTGGTGCAAAAATGGAATGTTTTTGAGCAATGATAAGCACTGACTCTTCGTTCGGCTTTAACGGCGAAGCCAAACTCTTGCAGATCATACTACATAAGGAATGTTATAGACCATTTCTCAATTAGGTTTCACGGCATTGACCACAGACACTGCCGCTTTTTAGTACTGATAAGCACTGGGGTCTGAGCCTCAACCTGGTGTTATTCTAGAGCGTAATTCGGAAATGGTCTATTATTTAGTTGTTTGGGTTTTTTTTGGGTTTTTTTTATTAACTTTACAATCATATTATATAGAAAATACACATACAGCTATGATTGAAGGATTGGACAACAGAACTAGAATCCCATACTAAGTTCAGCCATCTAACACTAAAACACGACATATTACGGACTGCAAACTGGACAACGTAATTACTGATTTTACAGGCCTTTATACTATATAAAACATGCAAGAATAAATACATAACTACACCACTGTGAAATTATTTGTGAGGTTCAGTTTTGACCCCCACCACCACCAGCACCACTAGTTAGAAACCACGAACCACTTACATGCAAACCAGGTCACCGCGAGGTAGTGATAGCGATAATGGAAGTCAAAAGTGACTCCAGCCATTTTACACCAGACTTTAGTCCTAACAACACGTATTTTACAATATAAACATGCAAGAATAAACACTACACTATCAAAATTATTTGCGAGGTTCAGATTTGACCACCACCACCATCATCACTAGTTGGAACCACTAACCACTTACATGCAAACTAGGTCAGCGCGAGGTGGTGATGATGGTAGTGGAAGTCAAACCCAAAAACCTCGCTATTTAACACCAGACCAGCTACGAACAGCAGGTGATATTGCTCGAGCGACACTTCATGCAAATAGTTTTCCATGTCCTTGGACGCTCAACATCAAAGTCCTAGTTTAG